CTTTTTAAACAGGCTACACAATCACCCTTGGAAAATGTGAAGCGACTCGTAAGTACTCATCTGTGTATCTTCAAAATGCAGCTTAACAAAAGGATGGAACAGACCCACTCCTGAGAAGTGCAGTTAGAGGTCAACTGGGTGAAATTCTGGGACTCTAGAGACCTTTAGGTCTAAGAATAAAATGAAACCGTATTCTTCATTTGCCAATGTTTTGGACAAAATTGCATAGAAACGAAGAAGAAAGTTCAATGTGATCAGCCACGGGCAACAGAGACAGGACTGAATGTCACAAGTACATCTGAGCGTGGAGTTTTTCAAAAGGCACATTCAAATAAAAAGAGGCCATTGAGGCTGGCAACAAATTGAACTCGTACCAGAAGCTGAAAGAACCATCACATAGCATTAAAAATATCATATGTCCTTGCAAAAATAAAACAGATTAAAAAAAAAAAAAAAAAAAACAAGTTACGCTAGCCAATTATATTTAAATGCATTAAGCATAAAATGTTCTATTCTTGAAGGAATTCCTATCAGCTTGGTTTAAAATGCCTTCACATTATTTTTCTAGATGTTCTGCATTACATATAAGAAACATATTTCCTCCTAGGAAAGAACATTTTTCTGCAATTGAAAAGTCTTCTCCCAACAACTTTGGAAAGGCTGAATAAATTCTGTGCGTTCTTATGGCATTCAATTAAATATTTGTTTTTCTCTGGTTTTTTCTCAAATTTTACAATATGATCCTTAAAAGAAATTTCTCTTTTTCACTGCAGATTCCACAACATAAAACAGTGAAACACATGAGTTTTAAAATGAAGAGAAACTGTTGAAAATATTTTCATCATGAACAATGTAATTAAAATACTAGGGGAAAAAATGTACCCTGTTTAGATCCAAGACATGCACTATTCCTTAATAAAAATTAAAGGATAAAAAAAAAAAGAGGTCAGCTTGATGGTGGATTCCTGCTGTTGTAAGTTAGGTGGTTGTTTGATTTGGTTTACTGGCAGAACACAGTGACCAAGTGATAAAATGACTTCTTGAAAGTCATTAAAAAGCTCACTGAATGAAAGTTTAAGCCAATGTCTCTCAACTTCTAGTAAATGATGTCGTTTGTAACTTATGCATTTTGCATTATGGAACACATGCCCAACAAATCAACAGGTTATTTCCACCCTGTTTAAGCTTCATAAAATAAGACATAATGGAAAAGGAAAATTTTACATCTATCAGCTGAACCAAATCCTCAGAAACCAGCATGTTGTAAAGGAAAGAGGCATTTTTAGAGTATAGGCAGCCAAAATGAAGCTCTGATAAGCAGGTCAGAATTAACATCATGCACTAACTTGCATGATGCACTTATGTAACTGGTTCTTTAGCTTTCAAATTCATCACTCAGCTGTAGTAACACTTCTACTATCTTGCCAATGTGGATTTGTAACTTCCAAATATTAATTTCTACTCTGTGGGCAGCTTCAAGAGTTTAACTTTCCAAAGTGCAGCCAGTGGGAAGCACATCAAAAGTGGTATGTGTCAGGTGTTCAAGTTTTCCTCTTGAAATCCTGCAGATGGAAACTTCTTGGCCTTAACAGAAATACTGAACATTACAAAAGCAAAAAGGAGAATTTGAAGATTCAAACTAGGAGAGCAATGCTATTTTCTCTTGAAGAAACTATCTCGAAAGCAGGGAACTGGTTGCAAAAATATACTCAGGTAGACCTCGGAAACCTGTTACTGAGTAGTTCTTTGGCAATGAGCAACATGATTAGCTGTGACTCCTTTAAAAAAGGTACCAATGACTCCTCAATCATAATCTCTCTCAATCATTTACATTCTAGAAGAGCTCATGGGGAAAACATTTCATAAAATTAACATGAGCCTTGGGAACTGAGAATCTAGTTGAAGTCAAGTATCTATGTAGTAGTTTGTCTTCGAGTAATTCAACTAAACATTTTGAACTACTAAATATTTTAAATTAATTAATTTAATTAGTACATGTTTGCAGTACATAATAATTTCATCTGGCAGAAGGATACCTGTGCATAACATATTGTAATTCTTTTGTTCATCTCTTTCCCTTCCAACTCCCTTCTGATTCTCGGCATCTCTTGACCTCTTTCCATTTTACAAAACACCTGCCTCCCTATTTCATATGATCTAGATTCTGTTTTGCTTTTTAACTTATGTACCTCTTTGGTCCGCTTTTCAAACATGGAAGCTACGACAGCACTGTCTTCCCAGCACGCTCATATAAGAATGAAGTGACAATCCAAATGAAAAATACGAACTCCTTTTTTTAAGTAAAGGAAACTTTATTATTACTATTATCACCACCACATTATAATTATGTTATCCCTATTATAGTTATCAAGCTTTAATTCCTTAAAAGAAAACAATGCTGTGTTTTATTTGTGTTTATCAGCACCAGAGATAAAAATGTCGCTTGACCAATTCTAACTGGATAAGCAAATTGCAGTTCTGCTACCAGAAGACCACGGTCTGAAATCAGAATTTTGTACCTTGAAAGCCACTTCAACTTCATTACATGACGCTAAACTCTTAAATTGTTCCAAGTTGTTTTTATTTTAAATCAGGAGCTACTCTTTAGAGAGGGGACGCATGGACGGCCCAAAACAACAAAGTCTCTCACTGGTGTCACGTGCATGGAGGGCACTTTAGAGCTCTGGGATATTTTCCTTCTTTGTTCCTCACATCAAATCTGCGCTTCCATTAAAATGGGAACGTAAAGCACAGAGAGTCTCACGCAGCATCAACTCTGCTCAGCATCTCCATCCTCGCAGAAGGCGATACCTCCGTGCACACAGAGGTTGGTTATCCCTCAAGATGAGCAATGATCTGCTTTTTCCCAAGGGCCATTTGCCCCTTTTATTTTTGACCACAACGCTTTCTTTTTGTTCCCCTCCCTCCTGCTAGGAAGTACAGCACTGACATGAACACAATATACCTCTTCATAAGGAAAGCAAATGAGTATGCTCCAGATGGGCCTAGGGCATTACAACATGTTTCCTGCTCCCATGGTGACTCAATGGGGCTGGTATGAGAACTTATCTTATTCAAGAGGGCGGCTTCCCCTGGCAGAAGTGTGAGTCACAGTTCCTGGGTAGAAAGCTCACTTACCAACAGCATTTGGAGAAATGGGCAAAGGGAGGCGGGGGTGTTCCTTGAATGGATTATAGCTGAGATCATTTAGACAAGCAGCTTTGCCAGGACCGACTTCTGGGGATTCCTGATAGCTCACCAAAAGAAACAGTCACCTTCCCCTTTCGCTCACAGTGAGGTAGTAGATACAAACACAGTGATGAATTATTAATGTGGATGTAAACACATCCTCCATAAAACTGGCTAGTCTTTGAGAGGGAAAAAGGAAATATGAAGAAATATTTATTCAACCATTGAACATTGAGTATCTACTCTATTTCCGTGTCCTGATTACTGTTCTGCATGTTTGGAGAACAAACAAAAACAGACAAGTCTATGTCCTTGGGTAGCTTAAAATCAGAGGGAGGGAATGAAGAGATAAACAGACAGAAAGAACAAGGAAAGAAGGGCTGAAAGAAGGAAGGAAGGATCAGAGACAGGGAGGAAGAGAAGAGGGAGGTTAAGAAAGGAAGAGAGGTTAGGAAGGGAAGGACAGGGGTTGAGGAAGAAAACGAAAGGGAAGAGGAACTAAAGAGGAGAAAAGAAAGTCAGAAAACAAGAAGATTAAAGCAAGACAGAGGACTACAGAGTGGTCGACATGACTATTTTAGCTAACAGTCACAAAAGGCCTCTGTGAGCAGATAACATTCAAACATCAAACTGAATCAAATGAAATAAGAACAAATGATTATAAGGACCTATACTCAATGTATTTAAAAATCCGGATGTCAAATCACTCACCAATCAAATGTGACACCCAGGCAAGCAGGACAGATGCTGGTATTTTAAGGTACCTGCGCCTATCAGCCCTGGTTACAATGCATACTTTGCTCTGTGAAGTCTCAAAAGCCCACAAGTTTAGATGTTATCTCCACTTTCAGCTTTGAGCTGTACTCTGTCCCAGTTATACCGCTCTGTTACAGTTATTTTTGGTTTCTAATACAATGCTTTAAGTGACAGAAAAACTGAAATGCACCCAGCAAAGATGATCAAAATGGTAGGAGGGCTCGAATCCATGCCATGTGAGGAACATACTGCAGAAACTGGTGTCATAGTTATATAATCACTGATGTAACACCTCTGAAGCCCTTACACACAGAATAGAAATTAGTAATATTTCAAGTAGAGGTCATTATATTTAGGAGAATTATACATGGGATCTTTTTAAAATGAGGGTCCCTATGTCTCCTGTACTAAAATTAAAAGAGCTTTGTATGAAGGATTTTGTGTTTCAATCGTAGAATGACTGAATGAAAGAAATTTATAGAAAAGTCTTCAGTTTTATGTATTAAAATCTTTCTAACAATTTGATCCATTGAAATATACATCAGGCAGAAAATAGATATTCATTGATTAAAGGTCCTAAGGCAAAAATTGTAGAAAGAAGCAAAAGACCTCAGTAGTGGACAATCAACTCTGATTTCTTATGATCTGGGTTCATAATGGCCGAGTTTGGTTGTTCGAAAAGAGGAAGGGTGGGAAACAGGGGAGAAGAACGAAGGAAGGAAAGAAGAAATTAATCCATGTTGGGAAAACAGATTGTGCTACTCTCATTGTCATTTATTTTCTCACAGAACCTAGAGTAAAGAAAAGAAGTAGTACTCTAACTTGGGTGTGAAAAGTGATGAAATTCTCCTGTAGTTACAACAAATCAAGTACACTGTGTCCAGTGCTGAGAAATATCAGCGGTTCCTCCCATCACACAAACTCCATGATTCTATGTTATCACAAATGCCAATGGAAATAAACAGCATTATATTATTTGAAATGCATTCTCAGAAACAGCTTATAATTTATATAGACCTCAAATTGTAAATGATTATTGAAAGTTGTTCACTTACCCGAGGCTTCACTTTGCAAGATCCCAAAGAAGCAGAGGCTCAGGACACACCACAGAATTCCCATCCTGTCAACATAAATAGGAGAGTAAGGGAGAGTACTTGTTACCTTCAAGCACCTAGACAATAAGACCTGGTGTTTGCGTGTTGACTACAACCAAGAACCACTCCAATATTTTTACACTATCAATAAGGTTAGTTGTCAAAACCAACCAATAAGATATATTTTCCGCTGTGATTTAGTTTTCAGTCTTCAAATTATAAACAGAGAAGGTAACTCAGACAAGCTGAAATAACATAACTCAGTGGTAGAGCCACAATTAAACATCAGCTATAAGGCTCCAAAACTCTTCCTTAATTACTAAACTATAACCACTGACATAAAAAATACTCATCTGAGTTTTCAGACCAAAAGTCACATTTCTAGCAGTTAAATCTGACCTTCTCACCCTGCCTCTAATTCCTTTAATCTCTTCTCAGTGGAGCACATTCTATGTTCCAGATATGTTTCCTTCTTAGCCATGAATGGGAAAATTTAGACACTCTGAATTCAGACTCAGTCTGCTGTGCACTACTCTCTGAATTTACATTAAGGAAACTAAACTTCATGTCCTAGAACTCCTGCTTTTCTCATTGGGAGAGCAAATGAGGAGGCAGGAGTCCAATTTCTGTGATCCTTAGCCTTTCTATTAAGAACAAGTGAAAACTGCCAATCAGCAAGAAGCATCTCTTTACTTTCAGTTGTTTGATCTTTAATGGGGAAGACCTAGAGATTTAACAACTCTGCAAGGTATTTCTTTCCTTACTACCTTAGACATGTTGCCCACTGGTAAAAAACAAAACAAAAAAAAACCAAACAAAAAAAAAACTTCCATAAGATGATAAATACTGGAAGATTCAGAAATTCTATGTTCAAACCTCTGCTTTCTTTCTTTCTTTTTTTTTTTTTTCTTTTTGAAGATGTTGTACAAATAAGAGTGCTTGTGGTGATCTAGATAACTTCTCCAGATCATGTTTCTGGAAATTGATAAAGAAGGAATGACAACAATCAACTGTCTCAAACAGCCTGTGCCACAAGTTTTACAACTGCAGTGACTCACCAGCTGAAAATGGTCAAAGAAATATGTGCTGAAGAGTGTGTCCCTATTCTATCAAGCGAAATGGGCCACTTACAAGAATGCTAGGTGGAGCCACAAGATATAAACAGTACTGCCCAAGGAATCCAGACTGTGACTTCGTGTGAGAGGATAATGGAAATGTCCAGGCCCTGTCTTACCAAATACACCACCAGGAATGTCTGATTCCCATCATATTTCCTTCTTTACCTTAGCTGTTCAGAGTAGAGGTGAGTCTACCATGAGCAACTACATTATCTCAGGGACTAAGTGTCTCTTTTTTTCCCTCAACTTCTCTTTTCCAACCTTTACACCTCTACCTCATGGGAGTGTGCTTTCCAGCATTCATGCATTTAGTCAATGCATTGCACCGTGGGAAGGAGGCACAGCTCAGGAGTAGCACACTTGCCTGCCATGTTCAAAGCCTTAGGCCCAATCCCTAGTGCCACAAAAACAAAAACAAAATATGTAGTGAACCTTCTATGTTTACAAATTCCTACAAAATCACTGGAAGGGCAGGAAAAGTATAGGCCCTTTTCTCAAGGCATTACTATGCCACTGATAAACTCCATGCAAACCCTTTCAATATTCTCAACTGTGTGAAAAACACACACTTGGGACACTCCTAGAGAATACAAAGATTTATCACATGAACCTCACAACACTAAGCAGAGGCTAGCAAGGATTTAACATGTGATAAAAAGTACCTGCAATGCAAAGTTAAAAAGTGATAAAAACAGAGTGGAACAAATAAGTGTTACTGAAGATTAGCACAAGAATTCTGTCACTCCAGCCAATGCAATCAAAGCAGACTGAACACAGAGGTGCTTCCTAACTTTGCAAACATCAATTCAATTACTTAGAAGAGAGGCAAAAAAAAAAAAAGTATGCATGAGAAAAAGAAACTTCTGGTGGAGAGTAATGTTCAAATGTAATAAAAATATGGAACATAAGTAGGCAATAGGCTATATATAATTTAGTTTCTCTCATGTACAGTGTGTAAGAAGAGAACTACAAAAGATTTTTTTTCTGGAAAGCAGAGAGCAAAAGGATCAAAATATGACAAGGCCCAGAAGAGCAGGCTAAAGAAGGGATTTAACTTAAATAGTAAATAGGGAATCACTGATGTTCTCTGATTATAGGAATGATAAAACCATCACACTGTACTTTAATGGAGGTCAGTCTGCCAGGCGGGTAGTGCATGGATTGCCAGTCATTTCTGTTTTGGAATCGTTTTGGGATCCTGAATTGGTCACTGCAGTAATTATTCTCTATCTCCCTAGCTCTGTGTCATCTACCGACCCGATCAGCATGCTACCTATGTCCTCATCTAAGTCATTAATAAAAGTAATTAATAATTCTACATCAATCCTTGTCAGTAAGACCAACAAGACATTTTATTACAGATTCAGGGCACAGTAATTTCAGCCCCACTGCTCAGCTATCCTAAAGCATTCAGGCCTCCCAAATTACTCACAGCTATGAAAAAAAATAACCAGACACCTCTAGATTTTTTCCAATTTGCCTGTTTATAAGCTGCTGAATTCCTGCAGTAACACTTGGAAGACAGTCTAATTAGTGTGATTGAGGACCTTAATTGATATTCTCAAGAGTAACTGGATCATGTCAGAGGCAGCAGCGTCAGGTCACCAAGGCAAAGCTCATCTAAAATAGCCATTGAGCAAACATAAGTCCAGGGTTAGTCTTTCCCTGTGATGAATTCAAATAATGGAAAGAAATATGTGTGTGAAGGCCGATTTTGACACACAAAAGGCACCAAGTTGAAGGTAGGCAATTGGCTGGGCTGAATCCTTAAGAAGATTCTGGTTCTTTTAGCATTGTACTGCATTCAGCTTTAGAACTGTAATACTAATACTAACTGTATTACTGTATTAATACTAACTGTATTAATAACTGAAAAACTAAGCAAAATACTTTTGCTTCTTTGTTTTTTAAGGTAGAGGGTGATGGATCAAAGATGTAGAAACTGTCAGAAAGCAAAGGGACTACCTAGTAATGCATGCATGGGTCTACGGTATTTGAATTACCATTCAGAATTTAGCTTATTGAAGTGGTCAGATTTTGCTCTTGATTCAGGTGACTGCAAGTTAACATACAATAAATTCTTTGCATTATATATTTTACTTACCATGTGATTATTTTTATACTCCTGTTTTGTATTGGTATTTCTCCATATTTAACACCACTGCTTTGCAATGTGTCTACCTGGATGCTTACATTACCAAGCAAGAAGCTTCAATATGTACTTATTTCTATGTAATTAATAAAAATACTGAAGAAGCATATTAATGTGTCTAGGACATTAATATCTATCCCTGTTTATGGGACTTGCTATCATCTGGATTCTCTGCACTTCATAAATGCAAAATTTTCCTTACCTCTGAGTTACCCCAACCTGGATTTTCTCATCAGACCAGCAAGTGACACAGTAACACTACTCGGCTCTGCACCAGAGTTGGTATTTGCTCTGGATCACCGTTTGTTCAACTTACTTCTGCACAGAGGCCTTTCACAAAACCACAGGAATGGACTTCTTCCAACTTCCTGATTGCTTATATAACACCATAGTCCTATAATAACTACCCCTTTAACTTCATAAGGAAGCTGGGGCTGGAACCTTCAGTCTGATGCTTCTCAGTTCTTTTTTCCCGAGGACCCTGTTTTGTGCCCTGTAAGTCTCCCGTAACCATGAAGCAGCTATCGCTTTCTTTGTTTTTGCCATGACTGACAAATGCTCTTTGCTAGGATCTGCCTGCTGAAAACGTGGCCATTAATAGTATGCTGAAAACTGCAGATGGGCATCCTCATATGGGGAAAACTCCTCCTGTTATCAAATCACCCCCTTGAATCGTCTATCTTGATCTCATTACTATTTTTTCTACTTTTCTTCTTTAAATTACTGAAAGTTTCAGGTTTTACATCAGCATCTACCTAAAATATAACAAACGTTTTTAGGACATGCATCAATTTAGTAATTAGCCATTCTAAAAATGTGTTCTAAGAATGTGTTCCTGTTTTCCTTTTAGAGTTCTCAAAACCTACATAGCCCTTAGTATGAAATCAGAAGGATATTTACCATCAATTTTTATGCATAGTTTTCTAACCATAAAAGGTGCTTGATGCAGACTATTTCAGAACCCAGTATTTAGCAACAAACAAAATTTCGGCAAAGTAACATGGAAGGTTCTAATTCTAGTAAAAATGAAAGAAGCATATTCTACCATATCTTTCTCAGTGAACACATCTATAAAACATGGGCATAAAGAGTAGTGCGACTTTCTGAGAACTCTAAAAAGCAAATCATAGTATGTTTCTTTTAACTATGGAGAAAACATTCACTCTGATAGGTTATATCATATGCCACAAATTAAACCATAGCAAATTTAAAGAACTTGAGAGTATGTACTCTAATCACAGAGTTGAGGCAAACATAACAAACAAAAACATTAGAGAAAAAATTTCTCTAAACTCTTCAAAAGTAATGTTAAATGACCCATGGATCCAAAGGAGAATTCCAAGGGAATTTGAAAAAAAAAAATTGAATGGGTTAAAAATGAACATATGACACAACAAATGTGTTCTGAGAGGATAATTCTTTGCATTAGAGGCTTATATTTGAAAAAGAATAATCTCAAATCAATAACCTAAACTTCTACCTTAAAAAGATAGAAAAACGAGAATATATGAACCAACAAGAGAAGGAGGAAAGAATGCGTTGATACAGCTACCTTTAAAATAAAAATAATAAAGAATACTACATATGAAATTGTTGCAATGAATAATAACCAGATACACCTCTAGCCAGAGGAGTGAAGAAGGAAAAAATATACATAATACTAATAACAGGACTCGAAAAGGAGAAGCGACTACTGATCACAGAGACATTAAGCTTATTTCAAGGCAATTTCACAAACTTCAGGCACATAAATTCC